TCCTCTGTTATTCAATATTTATTTAAACGATATATTCAAAATTAACAGTACTGGTAAAATAGTCAGTTTTGCAGACGATACTGCTATACTCTATAAAGGTAAGGATTGGAACGACTTAAAAGATATTATCCAAAATGACTTTTGCAAAATTATTCAGTGGTTTAATAACCGAAAATTAACAATTAACTTTACTAAAACTCATTTTTTACCATTTTCATCACTATCTAATCATCTACCAAAATATAACCACCTTCGGTTTAAGGTAAATGATAAAAATATAAAAATCAATAGAGTTAATGATACAAAATATTTAGGAATTTATCTAGATCCCCACTTGAGATGGGATGTACATATTTCTCACATATTAAAGAAAATTAGATTCATAGCATATAAAATAAAATTTCTAACCGGTATATTAGCTGAATATTATCTACGAATAATATATCAAGCTTTAGTCGAACCACACATAACATATGGTATAGTAGTATGGGGTGCTGCATGCACGACATACTTTAACGATTTAGATGTACTTCAAAGAAGAATTTTAAAATCAATGTTAGGCAAATCAAAATTATACCCAACTAATGACTTATATAATGATGCACAAGTATATGATACTAAACAACTTTACTTCTTACATACCATCACTCATTATCACAAAACTATTAGTGAACACGACATAATTAAACATAATCATAAAACCAGATATAAATTACGCGCAAAAAATGTTCCTAAACCAAACAAATCCCTAATGAAACGATGTCACCTGTATATAGCTCCAAAATTGTACGAACATTTACCAAATAATTTAAAACAATTACGCAATACATTAGGCTTCAAAAAAAATTAAAAAAATTTATTAACACGATTGGGAGAAATCAAATTAATAAAATAATCTCAAATATTACACAATAAATGCTCTACCATTCTTACCAATAATTTCTTTTTTCTCTCTATTTTATTATATTTTGCAATTCAACATACATATGATCCATGCACAGGCGTTGTCCTCCTATGGATATATTATATTTATTTACTCGTTTCATGTTCCCTGTATTTTAGAGTAAATAAATATTATTATTATTATTATTATTATTATTCTACAAAAATTGTCGCATTACAAGTTCCATAATAATAGCATTAGGCTCTTGTCATCTCATTTGAGCAATAGACAGCAGCTTGTAACCTTCAACAACACTACCTCCAGTACAATGACAGTTTCATGTGGCGTCCCTCAGGGTTCTGTGCTGGGTCCAATTTTATTTTTAATATATATATTAATGACCTTCCCAATTGTAATACAAACAACAACCTTATATTGTTTGCCGATGATACAACAATGCTCTGTAGTAGTAAATCTATTGACCTACTTCTCTCTGCGAAGATTGAATATACAGTAAATTTAGAAAATGAGTTTTTAGCAAATAAGCTGACACTTAATGCTTTAAAGACACAGTCCATGGTAATGAGTTTGTGTCACCATAACGTCAATACCGTAGACACAGTAAAATTTTTGGGTGTCAGTGTTGATAGACACATGACTTGGGAGGGACATGTCAACAGTATACTCAGGGAACTATCCAAGACCATACATTTTTTTAGGAATCTGAAAAGCTATGTTTCTGGTGATACGTTGCTAACCACATAACTATGTGCATATGCCTAAGGTATTTGCACTCCAAAAGCGTTGCATCAGAGTCGTCGTAGGTCTGAGTTATATGCAGCCATGTAGGGAGGCATTCATCAACCTAGGGATCATTACTCTTCCATCTCTCTATATATTTATCTGCTTATGTTATGTACACAACAATTTAGATCTCTATAAGACGCACATACATACATAGTTACATCACACGTAACATGCATAAGTTAGATATTCCTAAACATCGTCTGCAAAGAACTAGAAACGGTTCTAACTACTATGGAATCCACTTATATAATGTTCTTCCTGCGGCACTCAGAATGCCTGGCACCGTCTCATTTAGGAACAGAATTAAAGCTTACCTTACCCGGAAAGCCTTTTACATTTTCGAATAATTTTTAAGTAGTAACCTTTCGGATCTCTAATGTTGGTGCTGCAGTGTGCTTTTTTACTTGTAGTCAGTTTGTTAATTTGTTCGGATGCGCTTGTTCTACAGTTTTGTATTTATTTTAAATTTTAAATTCATAATTCCTTTTTACAGTTTTTCTGTTAGTGTTGTTTCTTACAATTTTCTGTTCATGTTGTTCTTTTGAACAAATTTTATTATTTTGGAATTTTACACATTCGCATTTTAAATTTTACTTTGACCTGTGTAAGCACGCATCAATAAAGAAATGAAATGAAATGATCTACGAATTTGACAATGGCATATAGAAAGCAATATAAATAACGTCATATTTAATGAGGGAATTCAAAATGTTATGTTCTTTAAAGAACCAAATTACCAAACCTGAGACGTATTCGCTCCTAGACAATTTAGATTACTTATTACACTATTTACATCCTTGGCATGCAGAAAATCGCCTATTAAAATCATTACACCGCAGCATCATGCCTTGCAGAACTACAGTACCAGATCTATCGCAACTGTAGTAACGAGAAAATACTCGTAATACAAGCCGGTGAATCTGCGATCTATGTATGTCAGCATATTTACGAACAATTGTCTTTGTATAAGAAAAAGCGTGTATGCTACGTACAGGATGGGCCAATTTAAATTCCTTTCAAGGAAAGTCCACTTAGAAAAGCACAAACTAATGCGCTGGAAGTTGATTGGTGTAAATTGCATCTTGGTATGACTCATCATTTCATATGTACGGGTTTTTAGAAAATGTACTTTTTACGCGGTGTAAGCTTAATTCATTATTATACCTTAAAATTCATGCTACGAATAGTATGGGATCGATTACCGTATCAGAAATCAATGGGCAATTTACATCCTTGGCACTTTTCCCGTAGAAGTGTTGCCGGGTCATTTATGAAGAGGCCCTTGTAAGATGGAATAACTATAAAGATACTAATTTGATCTGGATCCTTCAAAGTCTGACACCTTTGCAGAAATTTGAAGCGGTGTTTTTCATAGAGATTCATCAAGACAAGTAGCTTGAATTTTTTCTTAAAGACTTGACTTGACTTGAAAACTCAAGCTTTTAAAAATTTGATATTTGACTTGACTTGATTTTCGGACTGAACTACTTGACTTGATATCAAGTAAAATCAAACTACTTGATATTACTTGATAGTAGATCTGTGAAATGCGCATCGAAGCGTTAAAATAGGGGATTCACCGAGGTTAAATAGGGGATTCACACAGCAAGCAGGCACTCGATGACGACGGACGTGCTCGTGCGATTAGTAGAGCAGCGTTGTTCAAGGATAAAGGGCGACCGCAAAAGAATTATTATGTCTGATTTAAGAAGTGATTTGTCAGAAATGGAGTCGGAACCTTTCAAAGCAGCGGCTCAGAATATATCGTAAATGAAAAAGTGTCAGAATCTGATGACACCGAACCAGAAGAAGAAAGTGCAGGGTCGGTGCCACCAAAGGGAAAACGAGTTAAAGCTAATAAAACGAATAAAATTAAGGATTATTTCATAATCGAGCAGGATCCTAAGAGTAAGAAAACTACTGACAAACAAGGCAGTACCCTATGTGTCGTAAAAAATACAGTTTTAAAAATGAAAAACTGTGGAACATCTTCACTAAGGAGGCATTTGCAAGCTAAACACACTAGAGTCTACGAAAACATTTTTGGTAAATCCAGCCCACCTAAATCCGAAGCAGAAGCCTCTGCCAGTTCGAATAGGCGTAGCACAATTACAAATTGGCTTGAGAAGGTAAAAAATTAATAATAATTAGATTTGAGCTGAAACTAAATAGTAAATAATTGTACAGGGTGGGCATTTTATTAGGGGCGTAAGCATACCTCTTCCTCAGAAACTACAGGGTGTAGAAAAAAATAATAAAAGATTCTTGGCAATCAAAAAAAATTAAATTACCTATTAGAATTTTATTTATACAGGGTGTCCGAAAAGTGCTGCACCAGAATCCTTCATTTGTTTTTTCCAACTTCATCCATTTTTGAAAAATCTTTAAAAAAACACATAAAGGAATCATGCTAGAAAAAAACAAATGCCTAATTTGGATTGCTTGATCACGAAAACCCCTTAAAAAGTTATTTTTTCCAAAATCCGGATCAGCTCATTTTAAGCCACACTTATAGTTTTATAATGTTTATTATAATCATTATAGGTTCCTTGATTTTAAAAGTCATTCTATATTAAAAAGGTTTAATAAATTATTAATAAATATCGAGGTAGGCGAAATATCAAAATATTAAATAAAAGGCGGCTCTTGAACGGAAAAAATTACAACTTTCGGATAACAATTCTAAAAGTCTTTTAAATATAAGAAGTACTGTCGACTTCTAATTTAGAAACGCTTTTTTATTATATAACATAATTTTTGTTTGTTGTTATAATTGTGTAATGATGTCTCATTTAAAATTATGATTTTGAAGTCGGTGCAGCAGTTTTTGGGCACCCTGCATCAATAAAACTCATCAGAGCATATTTACAAAAATCTGTATTGACTTTAAGACATTCTTTTCAAAATTGTGGGACATGCTATAAATTTTTATACAGGGCATTTCAAAAAAATTACTTACTTTTTCATTTAAAAGTGGGATATTATGACGTAAACATTCATGCACTTTGCGCTGCAGTTTTGTTTATTTTGCAGACCACTAGTTGTTCAGAAAACTTTCAACAAGACAAATTTCAAAAACTACTTGTGGAATATATAGTACAGAAGTATCTCCCTTTCAACTTTTCTGAAGATGCTATAAGTGGAAAAATGTACAAATTCCTAAATCCAAAGGCAACTCTACCTGGTCGGAATCAAATGAAATCTTTGACATTAAAAACATTTGCATGCAGCGCAGCAAACAATTAAGTCATTTTTGAAAACATGTAATTCAAAAATCTCGTTCACAATCGATGGATGGTCTTCTTTTAATATGAAGGGGTACTATGGTATTACCGCCCATTTTATCGATAAAAATTGGAAATTTCATTGTATCCTTCTAGATTTTGTGCCAGCACATGGGCAACATACTGGTAATGCAATTGCAAAGCTATTTTTCGAAGTATTACAATTCTACGATGTTACAAAATGCATACAAGGTATTACTACCGACAATACAAATAGTAATTTTACGTTCATCAGAGAACTTCAAACGCATATTTCTGAAATCGATACAAAAAATATCCACTTTGTATGTTTTGCACACATCTTAAACTTGGCAGCTAGAGATTTTATGAAAATCCTTGATTCTGAGGTTGAAGAAACCGCCAACATTTTGACAGATATATCAGATGATGATGATGATGACTGCCAAGTTCCGTCCTCTTCTGTAAGAAAAATCCATTCCCTTGCTAAAAAATTAAAAAACTCTGAACATTTACGTGAAGATTTTGAAAAATTTTGCACCACTTTAAACCTGAAATTTACTATGCCAAAACTTGATGTCATAACAAGGTGGAACTCCATGTTAGACATGTTGAGATGGAGTCTAAATATGAGAAACGCACTTAACATCCTTTGTGATAATGTAGAAAATTTAAAAACTTTAAAGCCAACCGACACAGAATGGTCGTTAATTGAACGAATTTGCCAGTACCTTAATGTTTTTAAGAGTATTCCCATAATTTTAGAAGGTGAATCATATGCTACTTTACCCATGGTAATAATCGGCATTAATATGTTGCTGGATAGACTAGAATCGTGGGCTATGGTACTTGACAATAAACCTGATCGAGATGAAATCGATGAAAAGATTATAAATAGTATTCAAGCGGCAAGGGAAAAAATCATTAGACATTACGAACGGACTAACTGGATGTACTGTGTTGTCCTGATTTTGGACCCCCGACATAAAGTGGATACATTCTCCAATACAAGTTGGGGAAAAGAGTTGCAGATAGAAGCAATTAAACATTTTGAATATATTTTTAAAGCACAATATTTTAGGGCTGACTCTCTGCAAATTTCTGAACCATCACTTCAAGTAGCAGCATCTTCAAACCCTAGTAAAGATAGTAGTGTCGAAAAGTTTGAAATAGATCTACTAAGTTTGTTTAATCCTGGCGTAACGAAATCGACAAATATATTTCTGACCCAAGAGCTGACAGTACTGAAGATATTTTAGAATGGTGGAAGAGACACGAATGCATTTTTCCAAACCTTGCCGCAATGGCCAAATACTTTTTGGCAACGCCAGCTTCTTCAGCTCCAGTTGAAAGGCAGTTTTCTAGAGCTGCCTTAACTCTTACCAAAACAAGAAATCGATTAGGCGATAACTCCGTTAGAAGCCTTTTGTGTCTCAAATCATGGATGGCAAATGAGGATATTAAAGATTTATTTTAGATATTCATTTTCATGTTTGTTGATTTTCTATTGTTTTATTGTCAGAATTCAGAATATTTCGCATTTTTATTTCATATTATTTCATGTATTATTAAACTGAGTTTGTTAGAGTTTTCGTTTTTAGATGTTTTTTAAATAAAAGATTAAATCTATATATACATAGATTTTTATTGTTATTACGTTTTGGCAGTTGAACAGATTAATATCAAAAAAGTACATTTTTTCAAGAAAAATTAAGTAGTTAGCTTGAAAACTTGATTTTCAAGTTACTTGATGTGTAACTACTTGACTTGACTTGAATTTCAAAAACAAATACTTGACTTGATCTTGACTTGATATCAAGTCAAGTCAAGTCAAGTAGCTTGAAAATCAAGTCAAGTCGTGAATCTCTAGTTTTTCATAACAAATAGAGACCTGTTGAAAAATATTCAAGTCTATTTTCTGGGTAAGTCACTTTTTTCATTGTTCCTTCTGTTATATTAGATCAAATCCTGATTGAAACAGCTAAAAAAACACACGGAGCCATCCAAAAGGTGTTAAATCCTATATGGATAAGTGGTATAAATAGGAGAACACAAAGATGAAAAGTTTTTAATCACGCAGGCCTCATTTATTGTTAAATTTTGGAGACCTTTTATTAAATGCTTGTCCTACTTAAATGTAATCCTCCACTTTTACGTAGACAAGTGACACTGATGAACAACACTTTCCGACGATCAGAGATGTGACTTATTTATATGTATAAGAGTGTGGAAAGTAAAAGGAAGTATATTTCTTCTAGATTGGGTTAAGCTATCGAGGCATTTTGGAAAAAGAAAATGGGATAAAAGAAGGCAGGGAGCAACAAAAGTAGTGCACCTCTTCGATTTTTGCCGCTAAGATGTCAAAAAATGTATATCAGTTTCAAATCTATTTTTTTCCTTGTTTCGCAATAAAATACTAACTATTCATTGGTCTTTCTTACTAGGATCTGGTTCTGGAACTGATTTTTCAAATCAGTATGTTCGCTTATAGAAATTGCTTTTTTAATAACTATAATGTTTAACTACAGTTTACGAACGTGTAAAGAATGGGCATTACCTAGGGCACCCTTTTCTTCTTTCCATTTTGGGGTATTTTAAAGAAAAGCCATTTTAATATCTAACAGTGTATAGATTTGAAATCAAGATACCTTGTTTGATTTATCTTCAGCGAAGCAAACTGGGGAAGGAAGACTAAGGCAATAATACTATTCGAAATGGTTATGATGCATGACAATAAGAGCAGCACACGATACACCAAAGTCGTGGCCGACACTAGCAACAAATGAAGAAAAAAAGGAAAGTAAAAATGCATTTAATGAACATATTGATATGCAAACAAGCTAATCGAGAGTTGTCTGAAACAAAATAGTAAGCGGTAAGTGCCAGTTGCGTGCCGAGCACATCAATAATTAGGAGAAACGCATGAAAACAAAAGATTGCTGCCGCAGGCGACTAGTTAAAATGGAACGATTTGTTCCGAGGTAAAATTATCACGTATATGTGCCAGCGCTTGAAACGAAAGCGGGCTTTTGATTTACGTGCTGGAGATGTGATAGCTGCTGAAATGTTTGCTGTTTGTAATGTAAGGAATGCCGGGAATAATTGTGACAAATTCTCATAACCACAACTCAAAAGTCAACTTGTGATCTGCCGCGCCTTTCCTGGCAAATAGTCAGGAGCCACATCCGCAGGAGTACGTTTTATCGTCCAGGTTTGTCTAATCGCTGAATGAATTCACATATGCTTGATATGCTGTTTACTGACGACGACGTTTGGACCACCACGGTAGCATTTTTTCAAGTACAATTCTGATGACAATATATTTTGTTTACTTGTCTTTTTTCTTCCATTTTTACATTCCTGTATAGTGTGCTCCTACAATAGCCTGAATGAACCTGTAATATCCTGAGATTGCGCGCGGAGCCATCATTGCAATTTTAATACGGCACTGTTCAGAACCAGCAAGGGCCAGCGAGGTCAATGAGTGTTTTACCTTAGTTTTTCAAAACAATGAAGCGTGCTTTGAAAAAATAATTTTCTACAGAACAAATAACTATTTGCAAAGACATTCTTTTTCTTTCAAATTACTCAATTTAGATGTGATTAAGACTGTTATCTGCAATATAAAATCCAATGCTGCCGGAATGTATGATATCACGTTACAAATGTTAAAGTTATACTTTGCAGTAATTGGCATTTATCTACTACATGTTATTAATATACTCAGTGACATTAGAAGTGTTACACCCAGAAAAAATATTATATTTTCTGGAAAAGCAAAAAACTTGGGCATCAAATTTGCCTGGGACGTACGTTTTAACTCCCATCTAAATAACGTCTTGAAAAGTTATCTTCTATCCTTCATTTTTGACATAATTCGTTTTTTCTTTTTAACGGGGCTCCTACAATCACGAGCACCATCTGCTGAGGTAAGGGGGGTGAAAAGGAAACGAGGGTAGGCTGGCCTTAGACGCTCGTCGGCGCTACTTTAAAAGAGGAAAGGATGACTGCGGGTGCGTACCGAGGTAAATTTTTATAATAACAGAGTCGGATTTCGATTAGCGATCTAGCCTATTTCGGTACTCAGTAAGTGATCATTTGGTATTGTTCTACCCTTGTTATTGTTCGTCGATATTGTGGAGCCATCCAAAAGGTGTTAAATCCTATATGGATAAGTGGTATAAATAGGAGAACACAAAGATGAAAAGTTTTTAATCACGCAGGCCTCATTTATTGTTAAATTTTGGAGACCTTTTATTAAATGCTTGTCCTACTTAAATGTAATCCTCCACTTTTACGTAGACAAGTGACACTGATGAACAACACTTTCCGACGATCAGAGATGTGACTTATTTATATGTATAAGAGTGTGGAAAGTAAAAGGAAGTATATTTCTTCTAGATTGGGTTAAGCTATCGAGGCATTTTGGAAAAAGAAAATGGGATAAAAGAAGGCAGGGAGCAACAAAAGTAGTGCACCTCTTCGATTTTTGCCGCTAAGATGTCAAAAAATGTATATCAGTTTCAAATCTATTTTTTTCCTTGTTTCGCAATAAAATACTAACTATTCATTGGTCTTTCTTACTAGGATCTGGTTCTGGAACTGATTTTTCAAATCAGTATGTTCGCTTATAGAAATTGCTTTTTTAATAACTATAATGTTTAACTACAGTTTACGAACGTGTAAAGAATGGGCATTACCTAGGGCACCCTTTTCTTCTTTCCATTTTGGGGTATTTTAAAGAAAAGCCATTTTAATATCTAACAGTGTATAGATTTGAAATCAAGATACCTTGTTTGATTTATCTTCAGCGAAGCAAACTGGGGAAGGAAGACTAAGGCAATAATACTATTCGAAATGGTTATGATGCATGACAATAAGAGCAGCACACGATACACCAAAGTCGTGGCCGACACTAGCAACAAATGAAGAAAAAAAGGAAAGTAAAAATGCATTTAATGAACATATTGATATGCAAACAAGCTAATCGAGAGTTGTCTGAAACAAAATAGTAAGCGGTAAGTGCCAGTTGCGTGCCGAGCACATCAATAATTAGGAGAAACGCATGAAAACAAAAGATTGCTGCCGCAGGCGACTAGTTAAAATGGAACGATTTGTTCCGAGGTAAAATTATCACGTATATGTGCCAGCGCTTGAAACGAAAGCGGGCTTTTGATTTACGTGCTGGAGATGTGATAGCTGCTGAAATGTTTGCTGTTTGTAATGTAAGGAATGCCGGGAATAATTGTGACAAATTCTCATAACCACAACTCAAAAGTCAACTTGTGATCTGCCGCGCCTTTCCTGGCAAATAGTCAGGAGCCACATCCGCAGGAGTACGTTTTATCGTCCAGGTTTGTCTAATCGCTGAATGAATTCACATATGCTTGATATGCTGTTTACTGACGACGACGTTTGGACCACCACGGTAGCATTTTTTCAAGTACAATTCTGATGACAATATATTTTGTTTACTTGTCTTTTTTCTTCCATTTTTACATTCCTGTATAGTGTGCTCCTACAATAGCCTGAATGAACCTGTAATATCCTGAGATTGCGCGCGGAGCCATCATTGCAATTTTAATACGGCACTGTTCAGAACCAGCAAGGGCCAGCGAGGTCAATGAGTGTTTTACCTTAGTTTTTCAAAACAATGAAGCGTGCTTTGAAAAAATAATTTTCTACAGAACAAATAACTATTTGCAAAGACATTCTTTTTCTTTCAAATTACTCAATTTAGATGTGATTAAGACTGTTATCTGCAATATAAAATCCAATGCTGCCGGAATGTATGATATCACGTTACAAATGTTAAAGTTATACTTTGCAGTAATTGGCATTTATCTACTACATGTTATTAATATACTCAGTGACATTAGAAGTGTTACACCCAGAAAAAATATTATATTTTCTGGAAAAGCAAAAAACTTGGGCATCAAATTTGCCTGGGACGTACGTTTTAACTCCCATCTAAATAACGTCTTGAAAAGTTATCTTCTATCCTTCATTTTTGACATAATTCGTTTTTTCTTTTTAACGGGGCTCCTACAATCACGAGCACCATCTGCTGAGGTAAGGGGGGTGAAAAGGAAACGAGGGTAGGCTGGCCTTAGACGCTCGTCGGCGCTACTTTAAAAGAGGAAAGGATGACTGCGGGTGCGTACCGAGGTAAATTTTTATAATAACAGAGTCGGATTTCGATTAGCGATCTAGCCTATTTCGGTACTCAGTAAGTGATCATTTGGTATTGTTCTACCCT